TTCAGCTGAGAGTGTTGTTCATTGTTGAAGCGTTGTATATTCTTACTAGGGTGACATCTTCTAAACGAATGGAAAAACATATAGACGTAATGAACGCATGGCAAAAACTTGAAAACTGGAAGTGTAAATTAATGTTGTTGAACTTTTTCCATCATTTTAGGCACATACGACAGCATAAGTAGGTGCTACCCTATATTGTTCACATATGTCCATCTGTTCTGTTGATTGCCGATGATTTTGCTGAAACGGCTCACTAATGTAGCGCAGGTGGTGTGACGGGTCTATGTGAAGGTTCAAGACCAAATAGCTTGTCAGAAATGGAGTGCAATGCTCTCCTCGTTTTCGAATTCCCACTAGTGACTGCAGGAAATTTGCCAGTGAGCGTATACCGTATTGTAAGATTTGAAGCCCTTCTATATTTACTCCATTAGAAACCGTGGTTAGTTGTAATGCCTAGCAATGGACGTCAACCTGTGCGTCGTTTCTCACCACCCTCGTAACAAAAAAAGAAACAGTTTTCGACCTTTACCATACTGATACTGACCTTACCTGGACATCATTGTCTGACCACGATACTTACTTTCAACATTACTATGTGATTTGTTGGACAAGAAGGATAAGGACGGAGTAAGAATATGTAGTTGCCAGCCTCTAATTGACCTGCCGGGCAACGAATTGTCACATTACTTGATAAAGTTAAGCCTGCTCTTATCGAGTGGGTGTCGTTTGTACAAAGATACAAAGTTGAAGGGATTAGCTGAGAACGCGACAGAACGTACTATCCGTCTATTCACACCTCGTAATTATCAAATAGTGATTTCAGCACAGAACGAAATTTGACGAAAATAGTCTAAGGTATTTTCTCTCACGCGCGTGCTCAGACCCATCATTCTTCCTGAGGAACCGGACTTCGATAGCTGCGCCCTTGAAGATGTCCCTTTACTGCGATCAGAGCATAATTGTTAACTGCTATCCGGCTTTTGCAGAGGAAAGCTAATTCATGTACGGTTTAAACGAAAACCGTTTTCCGTGCGATATGAGCGAAATCATTTGTTACCTATTTCTTGACACGAAATAATTCCATATGAACTAGAATACTAAGTAGAGAATACCAACGAAATGACTAGAAAACGACATTTTAATATACCTAAACATATCACTAAACTCTGGCGGGAATGACGGCTTAAAATACGTTAGCGTGAGTCCAATTTCATCCAAATTCGGCTTGCATGTATGCCACCATTCAGCAGATATCCATTTGTGATGTAGGCAATATATGGCCAATATTTAAGTCGGTTCCTCATGAAATTGATCTCGAAGGAAACAACGTTTGCTGATTGTGGTTACCGGAACGTTTAGCACCTATCATCTTAGCCTTCACTGGTACTTTCAGATATTACGGAATATTTACTTGATCCGGACAGCTGCAGCGATAGTTTTCAGCAACGGGGCGTTGAGTAATGGAAAGGGGCAAAATAGGGAAACTGATATTTTGTTTAGCGACTTAAGTTATGAGAGTGTTGCTCGCCGTACTGTAGGCTTAAGCATGATTACTGGGCATAAACAAAGCATAAACTTGAAATCTCGATTAAGTGCGTGAACCAACCAGTTTACCTTTTTTCCACCGATGAAATTCATTATCGTTCTTGTATTCTATATGTGGCATGAAAGCGCTTAATCGGCACCTAGTGCTGCTTTCTCGGCCTCGACTTCTATTAGTGTCGATGTTCATCTTTGGTGACGAGCGCATAGGCAAACGTGCCTCCATGGGCAAAAGCTATTATACGAAAGGGCCAAGAGATTCTGTAATGCTATTAATTACCACAACTACTGTTTTTCTCGTCGGAATCAACGTCAAGATATCGGTAGTTTATCGAAAGCTGTCGACGAGTCCGCCGGATCAGTGTGGAACTTCCTAATATGAGGGATCAATAGGATACAACGGATGAAAGGAGTCAAACTGGACGAAGTGTCACGTTGCTTTGCCCGGCCTCAAAAGCTCTGTGAAGCCGGAGGTTTCTATGAAATAGATATGCGGCAGGGGCATTGTGGATAGTGAGTGGTATGCCACCGCTGCCACTTCACGTCGTTGGTTGAAAATTTGGCACACCGGCTTTAATAATAAGTTATAATTGTTGAATCGTTCTACACAATAGCTATGGTAAGTAAAGGACCGTCTCGATCTAGCGACATATTGCTGACAATTAGGTAACAATAAGATTAAACATATGCTTGTCGTAGCTAGTATTTCCAAGATTTGTATTTACTATATTCTACAGATATTTTTGTTCATCGGGCCTTTGTTGTCCTAGATCTGACAAACCGACCTGTATTGATATAAATATTCCCTATAGTTCCCTAGAGGTAAATCTCCACTCGCTTTCAAGTGCCTGGAGACTCTTAAGGTGTCGATCTAGCTAACCTTTTTTTTTTAATTAACACAGTTTATGCTTCCCACGAGAGACTGCTACATGTTAGAAGAATGGAGGCGTATAATATAGGTGTGGTCACACTTATATTCCAGCCGAGGTATCATGGCTTTCGCTTTCATTGATCAAGTGAACACGATCTGGAACACGTCGGTACCGTAAACTGTCAGCGGCTCGTTGAATAGCAGGGTAATATCAAATCTCGCAAATGCTGTTTAATAAAGGAACCTCTGTAACCTTGTTGAGTGTCCGACGAAAATTCCGTCAAGGTAAGCATCGACAATATTGGCGAAACGAGCGACGGCAAAAATACTCCTAGTTTACTTGAGATGTGGTATAGCCGTCTAACGCATAGCGACGTTGGGCTTTAATGATCAATCTAATGACATCTAAACTGGAACTAGAATGACGTAAGTAATGGCTGAAGATCTCCGTAGGACTGGCCAGGTTTTGAGGAGTCAAGAAGCATACAGAACACATCAGGGTTTACGAGGTATATGTACTGGATGTAGGTGTGTACAATGTAATAACACGGCATCTATTTGTCGTTTTCCGTAGGTTTAGAAGTAGGTTGGCATATTTGTGTGGGAACAACTTTGCTTTTCGCAGGTAATCAGCCTCTTCGTAAATTCTACTGATTTATACTATATTGTTTATTTTCATTATTCTACTCAGGTTTATTTTGTCTTTTAACGAGTGACTTACTCTTGGCAAGAACAACGTCACTGCGATACAGCCAACCAGTCTCTATGATGTGATCGAGATGTAAATCGAGTACTAAAAGTTTCCTATCTATAAGGTCATACGACAAACAACCCGACGATGTGGATTTTCTTTCGTACTCTACACTGTAGCCACTATTGCTAAGTGCAGTAAAACTTTTTTAATGCTAACTCTCCATTGACGTTATGGCTGAAGATAATGGTAATAGCGATTCTAGCTAGATTATTTGGAGTTTTCACCGTTAATGATTTCAAGCCGCATAAGGATCTATCTATCGTTAGCCGTTATCTACTTTCAGGGGGCCGAATCTGTTTGCCTTCGCCAGCCATTATGTTAACACAACTATTGTTTCTTCGATATCGATGGGCTGTTTTCGACATGTAGAAAGTGTGTATCCATCGAGAAACTATTCCAGGCAGTGTACTTCTAGTTCTAAAGCTAATTGGTATCGACAGTTTATGTACGTATCACACAAAACTGTATGTTTACAATTATTCAGGCACACTAATGAACGACCAGGAGAAGAATGATAGCAACGAAAGAGGACTCTTTGTATAGTAAAATAGTTAACAGATACATAGAGTTAGCATAAGTATCGTCACTGGTTTCCGATTCGTCTCTAAAGGAAGACAAGCTAGTTAGTCACGTTATTATCGTCCGTGCCAGGGTGAACGAAACGCCATTCGCGAGGACTACATCACTACACAACAAACGATCTGCTAACGTGACATATTTACAACTGATACAAGCGACAAAAAATCGGCAGACGCGTGATACGTCATCATGAAAGACAGTCATCGTTCAACAGAATTTGCACGTTGAATGTTGGATGGTCATGGCAAGCCTGCTAACTGTATTAATAGCAGTTGATCTTCGAATATTTGGGCATCGTGAGCAAGGCGCGGATGTCATAAAGCGTTTGTAGACGCTTATCTGTTCGGCATTGCTTCTGTTGCTGTTCTAGACATAATCGTTAATCTTTAAAGCCATACTATACCGCAGGCCGGTGGCGACAATAGCAATCGTTGCGAGTACAATGCTGCTAACGGTGGCATTAGAATGGACGATTGGGTGAGGCAGGGAGACCCAGGCGGGGTATTTAGCCGTTTGGCGTCTACAACATCTGACTCCGATGGTACTTGTACTGACAATATCATCGCCGGTAAGTCACATTACTCCTTGGATCTGACGCATTCTAGGAGCGTTTCACTCAAGAGAACTAAATGCAACAGGCGTATCAGTTTGGTTCGTACCAGCTGGCTAGCGACTCAGCGTCCTGTGGGCCATGAAACTGCTCGTAAGCTTTGTTTCGGATCGCTGCAGTCGTACGCGACTGCGCTGCCAGTAAAACCCGAAATCATAGCTTCCTCTTGTCGGTAGGGTAATAATAACAATAGCAACTATAATGCTAATCGTCGCGACAATCACATAATAACACTCGTTGTATGAAAAAAGTATTGTTCGCTTCATGGTCACAGCCTGTTTTAGGCATAGATCGTCTTGTCCACGATAACGGAAAGGCCAAGAGGGTCCCATGTTCATGGAGAGCATAATTACAAGCAGGATCAAATAAATATTTTAGAAATTACTGAATAGCAAGGAAAAGCGTTGTATGTACATTTTAAAAACGAGATAGATAGTGGCATGGAACATAACAGCTTTCGACGATATTCGCAAAGGTTCAAATCGTTGTTGTGGACATCAGCATTAGTTGAGCTATGAAAGCCAGCAAGCTTCCACTGTTCTCCGAAAAACGTTCCTCCTGATCATTTACATACTGATTGTATTCGCACCTAACTCACTATCTTATCTATCCAGAGTGTTGTGTGGGTGAATGAAATCACTTACAGCGAAATAACTTTCCGCGCGGTCTCTGGCGTCAGTTCTGGTATTCGTGTGAGGTTAGTGGACGAGTCGCAATCCAGGTGGCCGGTTTCGGCGTTGCATCGGCATGGCGCACATCTGGCCGTGTTTGCCGACGGCGACTGAGAACCCGCAAATGCCGATGAGCTGCTTGTTGGAATAACCCCTTTGAGCAGGGGCGACATTGGGGAGCCAACTTCGGCAACATCCGGTACCGCAACCGGAATAACGGGCACGACCGGCCCACCGGTAACCCGTATCTGCGGTGCCGCACCAGATGCTCCGAAGACACCAGAAACCAATTGCGCCAGCAGAAGGCATATCACGAAGGGAAGAAGTAAGGAACGACAGGAATTTTTGATATTGCTGTTGCGGCAGTAGCTCGAGGAAGGCCTTCCGCTTCGCCCGCGACTGTGAACACCGCTTCCGTAAGCAGATCTGAACCGTTCGGTAAGCCGTCGCGTGTGCTGTCTGCTGTTGCTGTTTTCCCCCGGCGCTCCGTTTTTTTGCCATTTAAAAAAGGACAAACGGCCTTCGGCGTGCCCCTTGTCGTCGGATTCGATTCGGTCCGACAGTCGGCTCGAGTCGACTGTGCTGCAGTTTCGTCCCACGACGGCACCGAGCTGCACCCCCGTCGTTGTCGTCAGGGCCGCCAAGTGCTGGCACTTTTCCGACCCGCCCGAACCTGCTCTCACCGCCGTCGCCCCCGCCTCAGCCACAACCCTGGCCACCAACGATTTGCACGTTTCGCTCCTCGCTGATGGTGATCGCATTCTGAAATAGGAACCAATAAGAGGTACAAGCAGATATATATATGGTTAGTACGTGCGAACTTCAACATGTTATTGAACCAGTGTCTATATTAGCCACATAAGTAGATGTGGGACGCACATAACATAAATATAGTCGAGAAACTATGCCTTTATTTTCAACAATGGTTTAGAATGTGTGTCAGGTAGTCGAAAGGCCAAGTAGTATGTGTGACGTGATTTGGACACCGACGTCCCCTAGAAAAATTGATTTAAATGTCCGGCAGCTATTTATTACTTCAAATACATACTAAGCTCGATTGATACATATAAGGAAAAATGGACGAGAAAGTGGAATGTATATGGAAAGCATTTAATATACTGCTAAAAGTAAACCTTCCTGCTTTGTACATAGATTGCTTTTCATCTCAGACAGTTGCGTAAACGAGTTGCAATACTCTTGGCCTACAAAACAACCACCACAACTGCAGAATCTCATCCTTCCTATACGTTTAGGTCGGATTTAACCAGAACTTTTCGCTGTAGCTTTTCGCCTCACCTTCCATTGTAACTTCTGGTATTTCGAAGTCCATTACTATCCAACTTAAGGTCCCGAGAGGAAATCCAAGACAAGAAACTTTTCCCTCATATACGCAGAAGGGAAGCGAGATCTAATTAGGCGGGCGTTAATCTTCGATGTGTCGTCCATCATCAATGGCGCCACCCGAAGGTGACGTTATATCATAAACTACCGTTAGTGGCAAATAAGCGATTTTTTTGTTTTATTTACCTATAGTATACTAGAGTTCAAAGCCGCATACGGCATCGTGGAGCTATATATATTTATGTATATGATTTTTCGGTGCATACGTGTTATATTTATTCCTTATTATTGTAATTTTGAACAGAAATCTGCTGATTGATAAAATGGGCATGCCCATAAAGGATATTTTAGAGTATGCTATTAGTCTGGGTCCGTCATGCAGTTATGTGTACCCAACAGTTCGTAGATTTCAAGTGAATGAGCCACTCGCATCTAGTTTCTGTATTAAATGAACAGTGCCTGCGGACTAATGAAACACAATTTATTATATGAGCTGTTTAGACAGTCAGAGATGCTTTTCAAGATGGCCACACTGGAGCTTCACTTTCGACGTTGTTCCACACACAAAATTGGAGGCCTGAAAATCTGGCAGCTCCTACCTCTCTGCACCTCGTCTTCTACTGAAGGGCATTGAAGCGATGCTGTTACTGAACGTCAACACTAAGCAGTCAGGCTAGTCTGCTTAAGACCGTTCAAATTATCCGGCCATTTCTATTTAATGGTTCAATATGTTGCGTGGCAGAAATGTCTGAGCAATTTCGAAAACTTGGAAGCATCGACAGACCAAAGCAAAACAACTCTGTCTGGGTTAATGTTTGGATATAAATAAACTTCCACGTAGTGACACTTGTTCCACTAGAGCACGAAAATCGTCTAAGAAAACATTTCATGTTTCGACTTCCATAGATCACTGAATTAAGTTCAAAGGAGGTCAACTCTTCTCTAGACCGATGCTACGAACACTGAAAATCGTCAAGGGCAAGCGAGCGCAGGCACACCAATCAGTGTACGTATACTGAATTGCTCTATGCAAGTCCGTTGAAAATCCGTCATAGGATGACTGATCTTGGCCAGCTGTGGTTTTGCATGAAGATACTCTTTTATCGGAGACACCGCCAATTCCTCTGGGGGCTTTTCACAAAAAAAAATTAGAAATTATTTTAAAAAAATAGAATATGCTTTGCAAGAAAAGTTGACCTTTTTAGTTTCAACTATCATCGAATACTTCTTTCCCATCCCAAATCGCTTTCGCCGAAGAGAACTGACCCTTATAGGCAACGTGCATGTGTTACACAACTTGGCCATTATGTGTAACACTTTTTCGGTGGAGGTTGTTTCCTAATATTTATGACGCCGATCCTAGTCAATGTAAAGTTCATTCGACGGGATTCAGGACTTCTATGTTTGGTTTATCGATCGATTGTTAGTGGCCGAGTTGGCGTAATAGGAAGGTCAAAAGAAATTACGAATTTTACCGTATTGCCGTTACATGTTACGGTGTTAACCTCTATTACAGAACGAAATATGTTGACGCCTCATTTCGAACACAGGTCACTACACGTATTCCTTAAATTTACTAGTCGACACTTTGTTATTTCACTAAAGTGGAAATAATGCGATCATCTAGAATATTCTGTATCCACTCCTTCTGTTTATCGAAGGACAAACTGACAAAAAAGGTGTAGCTTTAACACACCTTAAATTTTTCTACTATTCGAACGTTCGTTTCATGGATAGGCGCGCATCATTCGTTTGGCCCTTTACTTTCAGGTTACGCGTACCAGGCTCAATTGAACAGCAGAAAACGCGCTTCAATCGTAACTAACATATATTGTTATTTCTTTTTCCAATTTTATGATAATTTTCTGTGTGACGAAGATGTCATTCTGCAAATCATTTACTATATTTACCTTTACCTCCAAACTGCTGCTAGAAGTACCTACTCTTACCAATGGTAAAAGCAAAGTACTTGAACTCTTCGAGAACCTATAATCCATAAGGCTGGCTTTCATATTGAAGCACCTCGCACTTTTATTTTGAAGCATCGGCAAACGCCAACTACTTTTTATTTGTATTAAGTACTAGACACATCGTCATCATTGCAGCAGGGCCACAGCGTGCGCTAGGTAACTACAATCCAAGTTCAAAGGTTTTGCACATTTGACCGGGTTGCATTTAGTCGAAATCGGTCTAGCGGGAAGACTGGGAACGGCTAGAACTTGTGGGAGTTCCCAGGATTCGCTTGTGAAGAGCATCCTCAATTAGTTCCAATGCTAAATGCTGTTTCGCGAAGTCTTGCTCCCAAAGAATCTGACGTCCAGGTCTATATTATTATTATATAATAGATTGCTTGTGCAAGATTCGAATATCTGCTGGCATATGACAAGTCCGTATTTCAATTTGTTTTTCCTTGACCAATAAACTGTTACCTGTAAACCTAATATTAATATATGCTATATGAAAACAGATGAGTATGAAGTAGCCATTAGTAGTAGCAGGCCTTTGACTTATCGTCCTCCTCGATATAGATATATATATATATATATATATATATATAGAGAGAGAGAGAGAGAGAGAGATAGAAAGATTATTTTTCGAATATTTGAGCGTAATAGTTGTGATGGATAGGTGGTGACAAGCCTGTTTGTATGAACACACACGTATGAAATCGTTACTCGTAAACGACAGAACAGCCACGATTTTAGCCATTGTTACCCCAATCCTGTTTAAGCCAAAAGAGATTAGTGTAGCTAAATGTCCTTTAGGGCACATAGTTCTGTTTGCCTATGCACACAGCACTCAAGCTAACGTATTAACGTGTCAGTCTAAAATAAAAACACCAAATTTCTGCTGTTTTTATATTTGGCAAATTTAATTTTTAACAATAACACAGGCTTGGTATGTTACTTGCTGATTGATTGAATAATTAAATAATAAATGAGTAAATGCTTCCAGCATCCAACATGAAAAGATTAACAGAGACTTTGATACTGATAAACTGGCCCGATAATGGTCCCATTTGCAGATCTGAACATTATGACAAGAGTTATTTTGCACTGAATTGTGCTAGCTGATAATGTTAGATAAGGTTGCCTAGAGAAACAATATTGCTTTTTATAACCGAGTGAATTTGTGCGCGTTAAATAAACTTTGCCAAACGGCTCGAATGGACCATCATAACAAGCCCTCAGACTTTCAAATATGGCATTTTGACATTCAATATGGAAAGATCGTACTTTGCGGCCGCCATTTTTCTCCATACAGAAGAAACAGGATGTGGAAATGGTATAACTAGGCGACCTCTAGAAGATCTAACATCTGGCTGCTATAGATTAATACTGCGTTGACGTTGTTGGCACTGTATCCGATTCCCGGATTTGATCCAAGTTTACGAGTGGAAAACAGCATGCCTGGGCCCAGAAAGGTAAAAGTGCAGATCCAATAACGCTTCTGGCTACTGCTTCCTCAAACGTCCTGTGCGGCCAATACCGGTTAGTCTTTAGCTAGTCCGCGGTTTTCCTTCTTAATTATTAAAATTTTCGTCTTTCCGTGATCTTATAATCATCATCATCTTATTTTCTGTAAGTCCAGGACAACATTTCTGTAGTTGTGTCGACGGCTACATAATCTTCTCTTGCTCCTTTTACATTGCCTGTGTTAATCATTGCAGGATATTTTCAGTTGTACTTAACGCTGCACGTCATCGTTCGATTTTGTGATGCACGGGTTATAAATTGTTATAAGTACTCGCAATGATAAATCCTACGATCGATGAGTCGATTTCAAATTTTTCTTGCAGCAGATGAGCTTATAGTTGTAAGTTTCGCCTCAACAACGCCAAATGGAAACTCAAGTTCTGTAGGCGTTAGCCAGTAGGCTAAGCTAAGCTAAGCTACCGTAGCGATTGAAATCCTGAACATAAATCGGTATAATCGTTGTTGTGTTAAACGACGTCAAGCAGACACAGCGATTATATCTTAAATATCCTCCCCGAGTCGTTCCTATGCCGAGGCCGATTTAGCAGCAGAAACACAAGTGTTCTGTGATAAGTTACTTTATACACTTTCACTGACGTTCGTAACCAAGAAACAAGTGCTTGGTGAAAACGTAATAGCTTTTAATAAACAGAAAGCGTTGAATAATTTTTTACTCGTGGAGTTGGAACCCACGTGGAGGTATACCCAAATACCGTGGAATGGACAAACTTATCACCAAATACAGGGGGGGGGGAGGGAATCAAAACCGTTCAACTTTACAGCTTAAAAAAGATGACAGACCAAAATAAGGTTTGCTATTTTAGACGAAAAGATAATGTTCTAATATAATCATTGATTTGGCCAGGTACATTTAGTAAAATTGGACGGAGTAGAGCCATTTCAGTAATCGCAGTGACCATCACGCTGCATGAAGAAAGCGATTTC